ATCTCTCATGCAAAACAAGATCATCACGGCAGGAAACTTCGTARACTCTCTTTAACTCTTGTACTTTCCACCTCAATTCAAGCCACTCTCCAGGATTTCTTAGCATTTTATCATCATTTGTATTAGGTTATTCATGTTCAAGCAATGCTTCTGTATGCATTTGTCTATGCTTGTGTTGCAGAATTTTACTCCTTACAGGTAAATTCAAAGCCAGCAGTCTCTTATACTTCATTTCCAGTTTTCCCCAAATGCCCTAGTTAGCCGACGAGTGCACCTGAGTATGCAGTTATTCATTCATGAAACAAACATCTGAACAGCTAGGTTAAGTATCTATGCGAATATACGTGGGGTTGAGTGTTTGGGGGGAGGGCACTCAAAGGATTCCCACAGTGTGAGGCCTTGTCCCTAAGGCTTACAGACAGGGCCCTACACAGTTTCCAGTAAATGCTACAGAATGACTGGAATGAAGCAGGAAAATGTTGTGCTACCAATCACATTCCTTTCCTCCCCTAAAACACATGCCATATATCACTTTATTTTTTTTTTAAACGAGTTAAGGAGACTTATTCATCACAACCAACGAAAGGTGATTCGGGAATGAAAAATACAGCTTTCCTAAGCTCCAGAAAAATCACAAGTGGTCCAGGGTTAGCCYGGTGCCTTAACTCCCCGCCCCTAAAACTAATGGCCTCCGGGCACCATCCCCGCTCCTCGCCACCTCTCCAGCGCAACCCCCGGGCCTCCGGGTCCCGGTGCCCCGCGGCTGGCCCGGGCGAGGCCTCGCACGCCAGAAGGAGCCTCGGCGGAGGCCCCCACCCGAGCCCTCCGCAGCAGCCCGGCGCGGCCCGCGCATCCATCCCCGGCCCGCGGGCTGGACGACCCCCGTGGGCGCCGGCCCTACCACCTCCAGCCCCCGCGGGGCCCGGGCCCCCGCTCCAGCCCCGCTCCAGCCGCCACTACTCACTGCCCATGGCGGCGGCTGGGGAGGCCCAGCGGGGCACAGCGGCCTGGGCAGCTGCCTTCGCTCGGCTCCCGCGGCTCGGGCCTCGGCACCGGCTCCGGACGCGCTCCGGCTGGCCCCACGCAGGCTCCGCCCCGAATCACGTGACCCGCGCCCCCGCTCCGCCCAGCCCCGCCCCCAGACCGGGCCCCAGCCGTTGGCCGACGTCCGCCGCGTCGTCATGGTCACCGCCGGCGCGGAGGCCCGGCGGGGCGCCCGGAGGCGGGGATGGCCGCGCTCGTGGGTGTGACTCGGGGATCTGAGGGCTTCTGCGGCTTCCGAAGGGCAGGGGCGGCCCGGGTTTTACCTTTCTGAGCCGGTTTCTCAAACCAGCGCAGAGAAAGGACAGTTTCCTAGCCCCCGCGGGCGCCTCTGCTGGTGGGAGCTTCGGGAGCTTCTAGTTGGTTCAGTCTTCTAGTAACCTTTTGGTATTTTGTAAAAGAATGGTTACACATTGTGTATCGTTAATAGCTTAGGAGACTCCTCTTTTCTGCCGGCCACTAATACTCCTTCTCCATCCTCTTCCAAATGAGTGTGTCAGGGTTTTAGGCCCCCTGCGTCGTGCCCCTTCCTGGAGCCAGCGTTTTCTGATCCCGTGGGGCTCCTGTTCTCCCTTCTGGGACCGCGTGGTTAGAAAGCTGCCCTACCTTTTAATCACTTGGCTGCTTTTGAATGGCTTTAGGCTGTCAGCCATTCACAGCTACACGGATAACATAAGGATCATGATACCCACTTCTAAGGGTGTGAAAGTTAAAAAACTAAACTCAGCAATTGGCACATAGAAGGCCTCCAATTTTATTTTCCTTACTCAAATTTTGAATCCCTGCAATCAAACTTCTGCTCTAAAGGCTGCTGAAACAAACTATTTTAAAGGTAACTAATGACCTATTATCACCAAATCCGAGAATGTGTTCTAATGTTYAGCTAGACGTCCAAAGGAAATTATTTATATAATTTATATCAAAAGGCACTCTCACAAAGCCGGTATTTGATACCGTCTGTGAGCTTTAACGCCTCCAAATGACTTCTCCCTGTGGCATGGGCTTCCTTGCAACATGGTGTCTGGGTACCAAAGGATTTCCTTGGAAGTGCCCCAGTGTCTCTCTCACTACATGGTGTTTGTAGAGGCAGCCAGGAAGGTCTGCTCAACTTCAAGAGGGCAAAGAGACACCACTCCTAGAGGAGGGAGTGGCAAGGTTCTGGAAGACCCTGTCTGACTCATATATTGCTGTGGCCATTTTTGGAAAATACAATATGCCACAGTCAGAATCTCCCATTCTTTGAATTCATTCTTACCTCACTTTACTTTGTATTAATCACTTTCATACTTGTCTAATCTCCCTTTACATCACAGTAAATTTTGGGAGGTGGAACTTAATTCCTGTGTCTGCAAATGATTGACTTAAATGCACTTTTTTCGTGAAAGGCACTCAACCACTGGGCTACATTTTCAGCCCTTTTAATTTTTTTTCATTGTGAGACAGGGTCACACTAAATATTCCAGGTTGGTCTCAAATCTTCCTCCCTCAGCCTCCTGAGTTGCTGGGATTACAGKCATGAGCCACCATGCCCAGCTTAAATATGATGCTGACACAAGATTGTCAGCTAATTACATGAACACAGTATCCTTAAAATAAAGATGCACTAAATTGAAAAATCTAACTGACAACACAGTTTACCCCTCTTTACTGCCTATGTCTGAGATAGCTCCATATTTGAAGAGTGAGCCTGGGAGTGAGAAACCAATGTGACTCCATTTTTTTTTTTTTTTTTGAGAGAGAGAGAGAGAATTTCAATATTTATTTTTTAGTATTTGGCGGACACAACATCTTTGTTTGTATGTGGTGCTGAGGATCGAACCCGGGCCGCACGCATGCCAGGCATCCCCAGCCCTTTTTTTTTTTTTTTTTGAGAAACCAGCCTCTACCTCAGAGCAAAGCCTGTCCTAAGGAAGGGGGTTTGACCCTTGTCCTTGGAAAAACCCACAGATCACTCCTAAGCACCCTGCTGAGTTGTTTGTAAATAACAGGAGAGGTCTGAGGCGCCAGGTGTCCCTGACTCAGTTAGGCTAGGTGAAGACCCATAGCAACCCCCCTAGCAACCTCCAATCAGCATGAGACGGAAAATACCTGGAATGCCAGATGACCCCCAAGTAGTTTATGGTGGTTGATAACATGTTGGGAAACCATGTAGTTTAGCACGGACACCCCTCGTGGCCTAAATCAATCAGTTCAAAGGACTCCCTCTCTTGTATTAACCAATCACCCCTACCCAAATTGTTCCCGTCATTGAATGTTAAGAGTTGTTGTTTGACTTTCCCACGGTGTGGAATGATTTGCTGTGTGATGTTGTGATGCATAGAGTATCCCCCMAAACCTATAAAATTTCACTGAACAAAGGACCAGGACTCACTCCCTGGGACAGCTGTGTTAGGAACGGTTGTGAGTCTAGGCTCAAGCTTGCAATAAAGACTCTTGTGTGATTGCATCGGATTCAGCTCCTGGAGGTCTGTTGGGATCCCACGTATCTGGCATAACAGAAGTAAGCTTTGTCACCCTGGGTAATTTATGAATTACACTTCTGTCATTCTTCAGTCTTTCTACTACTACATGTTACCCAAGACTTTTCCTTAACTACAATATGCCAGCTGGTCTACATCAGGAATATCACTCTACTTTGACCTCTCAAATTCCTTTAGCATATACAACAAGAAAATTTCTCTCCCTAAACATAAAATAGGTTTTTTTTTTCAAATAGACTATTAGTTTACTAATGACCCAGGGCAACCTATCTATCTTTTACTTCTAAGTATTTCTAAGTATTTCCAAACAATACCATTCAAGAAACTAAGAGATATGGGGGGGGGGAGAAATTATTTTTCTATTTAAATAGACAATTACAATTTTAATTAAATATAACTTTGTAATTTTACTGATTTATATGAGTGGTGTTAAGTTACATGACGAGACTTGATACAAGAAAAAAAAGTAGCAAGGTATGCAGAAAGAAAGGAGAGGTAACTACTACAGAAATGTTAAATCAATATACTAATACACATATTTAAGATGTGAATTATGAATCTACTGTGCCCAGAACATCGATTCTGAAAGATATTTTTAATTGCATGTAAAACTGGAGAGGGAGTGGGTCCATTCTACCCCCAGGATCCCCCATAAATTCTCATAAAAACAGTATATGACCCAAGAACAGCAGATAGTAAAGGCTCCACAACACCAAGCCAAGTGAATCTACATAGTTTGCAGTTTGGTTATGCTTCTAATACTAGGTGTAATTTCAGATGGGGGGAGTCAGTTGTCTCCTCTAAGAAATCCCCAAGCACGCCCAAGGACATTGGGAAGGTCCCTCTGTTAAAGTGTTCTTTAAATGCCACAAATAAATATATTGCATCTGGGACTTTCACAACCAAAACTGATTAACCAGGATCTGAAATCCCCATCTCAGAAAGCAAAGTCTGATTTCATAAGAATAATTAAGGGGTCAGGGATCATGGCAAAATAAACCACAAATCATTATAGCTAAAACTATTTAATTTAAAAATACACTGTTAGAAGATCGTATAGCCAGAGGTTTGTATTTAATAGGACCCAGGCTTAAGGATGATGGGTAAAACCTTGAAGAACACAAATTGGGAATAATTTAGTTTTGGCTGGCAGATAACAGAATGAAAATAATGGTAGTAACAGGGCTTTGAAAAAAGAAAAAAATTAAAAAGTGGCTAAGATCCAGTTTTGAGATCATCTGTACATGGCTTTAAATTGTAGCTAAAGAACTTTTCCCTGTCTTACATGTTTAATGACAGTGGAGTCTGGAATCATGTAGCTAATGACCTAGTTCTCTAACTCAACTCACATCTAATCAAAACATAACACAAGTACACTTTTTTTTTTTTTTTTTTTTTTTTTTAGTGAGAGAGAGAGAATCTTTTTTTTTTAATATTTATTTTTTAGTTCTCGGCGGTGCCGAGGATCGAACCCGGGCCGCACACATGCCAGGCGAGCGCGCTACCGCTTGAGCCACATCCCCAGCCCCACAAGTACACTTTTAAGGATAAAATTTACTAGTTTGATTCACGTGTTTACAATAGATGCCCCTGTTTATTCCACCTATTCCAAATTAAATTGTCTGCATCAATTCCATCATCTCAGAGGAATACAAATTTTCCATGTTACCTAAAAGAAAGGGGAAAGGAGAGGAAATAGGCCGTCCTTTCTACAACAGTTTGCTTTAAAAGAAGTAATATTTCCTCAAAGGACATCAGCAAGAAAAGGTCTTGGTGAGAATGTCTTCATGCTGCTGCAGGTGCACCTTGCCAATTCCTACTGCAGGTGCTGCCAAAGGGGGTCGACTCACGAGACGGAGCTGTCATTGAATGAGAGAAGAGATAAAATTATTTTGATTGGAGTTCTGCCTACTTCCTCCAAGAAAGTGCATGTATTTCTCTTAGCTTATTTATCCATAAGTCACCTTTCTGGAGAAATAATGAGTCAGAGAATGATTAGAAAGAAATATGTCAACACTAACAACCAACCAAATTCTAGGCATGAAAGATGGAAACAAGTTTTTTTAATTTGTCCCWTTTTTTTTGGTGGTGATGGGGATTGAACCCAGGGCTTATGTGCATTCAAGGCAAGCACTGCCCCTTGTCCTATTCTTAAGTAACTATCAGTTGGTGTTGGCTATAGTTTCCTTAATTAGAACTATTTACATGTGAATGTGATTTGAATCTAGCAAGCTAGCATTGAATGAGTGAACTGTGTTTCAATCAAAACAGAATAAAAAGACAAACAAGTACATAGCTTGTCTCACTGTTTTCCCCTTCCTAAGGAAAATCAAGGAGTATATCAGCCTTGATGAATACCAGCTTTGTAACTGGGTCTTGAACGAGTGTTAATTGGGTGTATGTGTTTTGGGTTTTGTTTGGACTCACTATATTGCCCAGGCTGGCCTCGAACTCCTGGGCTCAAGTGATCCTCCCACCTCAGCCTCTAGAGGAGCTGGGATTACACGTGCACAAAAGGAGACCCAGCTAGTCCTATAAAACAAGTCTACTATTATCCTGCTTCTCCAAGGCTTTGACTAAAAAGGCTGAGGGGACTAATGAGAAAGGGAGTAAACAAGTAAGGACTTTACTTTGGGGAGTTAATAACCATACTTTCATCTACATGATAAGAGCTTGTGCATCCTTAATACAAAACCTGAAATGCTCCAAAATCCAAAACTTTTTGAGCACCAAGTTAGCGTTTTCTTCCAAGAGAATAGTCTAAAATTAGAATTTCTATTTTAGGTTATCTTTAAAGAATTGGACTAGGGATAAGCCCATCTATCAGCTCTCCAGRAAAAACATACATACATTCACACACGCCTCAAAACACAACAAGAAAGCTATTACCTTGCAGGCCAGTTGCTTTTCAAACCTTGGAGCAACAAAAAACCATGGACCCATGTTCTGAGGCTCTTCCTGACTCCATATAATATCTACAAAAAAAAAAAAAAAAACCAAATAATTCATTTTAGCACCTCAAGTAAGCATAATATATCAAAAGCAAGGTGGGGAGAGATGGATGAAGAGATAGATATCCAACCTCAATTAAATATGTGCTTTTCCAATATGGCATTGTATTGTTTATCTTTTTTCTGACAAATACATAGTCACACATTCACAACCACAATCGTGATACAAATGGTTCTACCAGTGCCCCAAATTTCCTTATCCTATCCTCTTGTAGTCAGTTCCCCCTTCCACTCCCAAACATTGGCAACCACGGATCTTTTCTTTATCCCTAGAGTTTTACATTTTCCAAAATGTCATATAAATGGGATTGGGGTATAGCTCAATGGTGGAATACTTGACTAGTATGCTCAAGGACCTGGGTTCAATCCCTAGCACTGCAAAACAATACAAAACAAAAAAACAATAACAAAATGTATAAGAAATGATTTGGGTGTAGTTCCTTCTAGTCTTTTTCCTTCTGTAGGTATATTTATATTTGTATATACACATAATTATAAAAATTCACCTTCATGAATATAGAATTAGAATTCTGGTATATATGGTTTTGTATACATTTTTGAATCATGCAAAAAGCAAGCTAAATTCTCTTGGAAAGATGATATTAAAGGCTACAAAATCATCTATTTAAAAGATGTCATATAAATGGAATCATATTATATGTAGATTTTTCATTCTGGCTTATACATTTGTGACTTACACATGTTTTTGTGTAAAGCAATATTCACTCTTTGTATTGGGTAGTATGATATTGTACAGATGTTTATTGCTGCGGGTAAATTATGTTTATTCATTCACTGAATGAATGATATTTTGGTTATTTCTTATTTGGGAGAATTACCAACAAAGCTGCTATAAACATATGTATACGGGGGCTGGGGATATAGCTCAGTTGGTAGAGTGCTTGCCTCACATGCACAAGGCCCTGGGTTTAATTCCCAGCACTAAAGTGGCACCCCTTTTCCCCACAGAAAAGCCCTCTTCACCATGGCTGATTTTAGGACTGTCAGCAAAAGAGTCTCTGCAAAAGAGTCCAGTGTAGATAAACTTCCTATTTTCGTATTGCCCTGTTTTACTTGGCCACTGTCTGGGAAGATAGTGTTCAGCACTCCAGATGCTGAACATCCCTTACTAGTTTTTCACAAACATATCCAGTATAGTACTTTGTAGAAATGTGCAAACAAGGCCTTTGGCCTTGAGCTGAGGCTTCACAGAGATGTCTACATTTTTAAGATAAGTTACAATTGGGCTTCATGGTAACAGCTGGCAGGGGGAGGAAAGAAAGGGGAGAAGAAGCTCTCCCCTTCTCTGGTGTTGTCCTTGAAGGGTTAACATGCCCAAAAGTGAAAGAAAAAGCTGCTTTTATGTGAACTTCTACAGACTGTGAATTTCTGAGCCCCTCCCCTTACATCCTGRGTATAAAACTCTGAAACTACCTGAACTTGGGGTTCAGGGGATTGATTGATTACAACAGAAGCTGTGCTCTCTGAACCTGGCTGCAGCCAAATAAAACTGTTCCCTGCTATCTTCGGTGCCTTGCCTCATTTGTCCCTACAACAGCACCACTAGTAACAATAATAATAATAATAATAAATGCCTACAGATTTTTCTGTGAATGTGTTTTCATTTCTCCTGGGTAAATACCTACGAGTGGGATTGCTGGATCATGTGGTACCTTGACATTTAACTTTATAAGTAACTATTTTTCAGGGTGGCTGCAACAGTTTGCTTTCCTATCACAAGGGAGTGGGGGCTCCACTTCTTTGCATCCTCATCAGCACTTGATATCATCAGTCTGTTGTTTTATTTTGATTTAATTTTAGCCATTTTGGCAGGTGTATATACATATTTTATATTGGCTTAATTTTTATTTCCCTTGCCACTAATGACATTGAGCCTCATTTCAAGTGCTTGTTTGTCATCCAGTGCTTTGGAAAAGTGCCTTTTCAAGGTTTTTGTACAGTTAGAAAAAATTGTTTGTTTCTTAGTACTGAGTTCTAAGAGGTCTTTAGATACTCTAGATAGTCTTTTCAGATATGTATTTGCAAATATTTTCTCTCAGCATGTGGCTTGACTTGAATTTTCTTCACAATGCTTTTTACAATACAGGTTTTTGTTTTGATAAAGCTGAATTTTTCTTTTATGGAATGTGGTTTAGGTGTCATAACTAAGATATTTTCATCTAACCCAAGGTCATAATGACTTTATTCTGTTAATTCTATAGTTTTACATTTAGGGCCATGATCAATTTGGAATTAATTTTTATATAAGGTGCATTCAGACATCAAATATTCCAGCCTTGACTTGTATTTTTTAATTATCATATATTTCTCACAAATGATAGCACAGCATTGATAATCCCCAAACTCTCAAGAAATTAGCAGTTTTAGATGACAGAAGGGCAGAACTAAGAGGGACACCAAGAGAGACACTAACTCAAGGAATACTTTTTTTCATATTCTTAGAGTCCATGAAATTTGATTTTCTTTTCTTTCTTTCTTTTTTTGGAACTGGAGATAGAGCCCAGGAGTGCTTTATCACTGAGCTACATCCCAGCTCTTTATTTTTTTATTTTTTATTTTATTTTTTTGGGACAGGATTTCATTATGTTGTGTAGAAACTCTCTAAGTTGCTGAGGCTGATCTCCAATTTGCTATCCTCCTGCCTCTGGCTCCCAAATTGCCAGGATTACAGACATGCACCACTGCACCTGGCGAGATTTGATTTTCTAATAACTCGCACTTCCCTCACCACCTTTTTAAATCCAAAATAGTTTGAATAGATTTCATATATCTAAAAAGCAAAGAACACTAACAAGAACAACCCTTTACCTTTCACGTGTGTATATTTGCTCATCTCTTGCTGTAGAGAATCCAATGGGAAAGGGCAGAGTTCCTCTATTCGAATCAGGGCAAAGTCATGTTTCTTGGCCCCCAAAGATTCTCTTTGTTTCAGCAGGGCATAGAAATGCTTACCACAGCAGAATACGAGGGTCTTCACTCTGTTGGGGAGAACAAGAGCAACAGAATGGGGGAGAAATGCTTCCAAGAATTGTGTCTGAGGAAAGGGAGACTAGATTTCTTCAGTGGCTCACTGATGAAGCTGTGGGGGCATGGTAACTGGGGTCAATTATCCGCTGTGCCCTGGCAATCCTCTTGAGCCACAAATGCCTCTGAAGTTCACTCTTTCATGCACACTCTGACTCCTATTCCACTGCCTTAAAAAAAAACTTATGTCAGGATAGGGGCTGGGGATGGAATTCAGAGGGAGAACACTTGCCCAGCATGGAACCATGGTGAGGCCCTGGGTTCAGTCCCCAGCACCACAAAAAAATAGAATAAAATAAAATTATATCAGGGTAGAGGAGATTTTGGTTACTTGGGATTCTCCAACATGACCTAAACTTTCCTACTAACTAAACATCTACCCCAGGGTATGAAAACAGAGAAACACATTAAATTACTTCTTTGGATCCACAGATGAATCACCAATGACTGGTTTGAATGTTGTTCCTGGTGCCATTTCTTGAAGAGTTGACACAGCTGCCTAAGGGAGAGAAAAAGCCAYACATGTATCAACTAGTGGAAAAGAGATGCAGCTTTAACTTACAAGAGATCTTTCCCACAAATAGCCTAGAACTGAGAGTAAGCACACAAACTAACAAAAACAGTAATTTCCCCAAAATATCAGACTAAAGTTAAGTAAAATTGACTTTTGTCTATGCCACACTATAAGTGTCTTGATAAGTTTTGTTTTGGAGGGTTTTTTGGTAGCACTGAGATTGAACCCAGGGCCTTGCATATGCTAGGCAAGTACTTCACCACTGAGCTACATCCCAACACTTTTTGTTTTTGAGACAGGATCTTGCTAAATTGTTTGGAATGACCTTGAATTTGTAATCCTMCTGTCTCAGCATCTCAAGTATCTGGGATTACATGAATGTGCCACTACACTGGGCCACAACACAGTTTTAAGAATTCATTGGCCAGGGGAAGGGAGGGGGCTTGGGGTTAGTAATGATGGTGGAATGTGATGATCATTATTATCCAAAGTACAGGTATGAAGACACGAATTGGTGTGAATATACTATATATACAACCAGAGATATGAAAATATGTGCTTTATATGTGTAATAAGAAGTGTAATGCATTATACTGTCATATATATATATATATATATATATATATATGAAGAATTCATTGGCCAAGGTAGCATACGCCTATAATTCCAGCTACGTGGGAGGTTGAAGCAGGAGAATCTCAAATTCAAGGATAGTCTGGACAATTCTGCAAGACCTTGTCCCAAAAAAATAAAAAGGCTAGAGGTTATAGATTAGTGGTAAAGAGCCCATGGGTTCAAACCCCAATAGTGCAAGAAATACAAAAATAATAATAACAATAATTTTAAGAATTAAAATTTCAGGCTGGGCATAGTCGTACATGCCTGTAATTCCAGAGACTCAGGAGGCTGAAGCAGGAGGACAGAAAGTTCAAGGCCAGCTGCTGCAATTTAATGATACTCTGTCTCAAAATGAAAAATAAAGAAAGGGCTGGGGGTATAGCTCAGTGGTAAAGTTCCTATGGGCCCAATTTCTAGAACTACAAAAAATGAAAATAAAATTTCTAATAATTCCCTTAATAAAATACATGTTATATTTAATATCATCATGATATTATGATTTGAGGAGCAGGTGACAACCTTGGAGATACAATGAAAGTWGGGTCAAAAATCCCAGATACATGGGCTAGGTTTGTGGCTCAGTGGTAGAGTGCTTGCCTAGAATGTGTGAGGCACTGGGTTCAATTCTCAGCACCACATTAAGTAAATAAATAAATAAAGATATTTTTTAAAAATCCCAGATACGTGTTTCTTAGAAATAAATTGTAGTAATTTTACATTTTAATTTGATCCCTTTAAGATTGTTTCGAAAGCCAAGTATGGTGGTGCATGCCTGTAATKCCAGTGATTTAGGAGGCTGAGACAGGAGGATCACAAGTTTAAGGCCAGGCTCAGCAATTTAGCAAGACCCTCAGCAACTTAACAAGACCCTGTCTCAAAATAAAAAATAAAAAGGGTTGAGGATATAACTCGGTAGTAGAGCACCCCTGGGTTTAATCCCCAGTACCACAATACAAAACAAAACAAAAAAGATTGTCTCACACTATCTGTGTCAAAAGAGCTCTTCCAGAAGAATTGTGTCAAAGGGATTGCATTAACTTTCACTTTTCTCTCTCTCTCTCTCTTTTTTTTTTTTTTGGGTACTCAGAACTGAATCCAGGGCACTTAAACACTAAGGCACATCCCCAGCCCTTTTGAAAAATACTTTACTTAGAGACAGGGTCTTGCTCAGGGACTCACTAAGTTGCTGAGGCTAGGTTTGAACTGGCAATCCTCCTGCCTCAACCTCCCAAACTGCTGAGATTACAGGCATGCACCACCATGTCCGGTGCATTAACTTTTCTTGAATGTATTGTGACGCTGTGATGCTTCTAGGCTTCTGAGAACATTGGGTGAAAGAGAATAAGTAGACCTCTACAAACAAACAKCAGACAACGATGGAAACAACTTGAAGTACATTTCTTCAGCATCGATTCCCAGACCTGGGACTAACCAACAATATCTGCTATAGACGTCCCTCCTTACAACACAAATGGAAAGCAAACTATATTTCCAATTATTTTTTTCCAGTTATTCTTAAATGGCTAAAAATAATGAAAGCAGCAAAGTTAATTTGAACTAAAAATATATTTCTGTAATTTAGAAATATTATTAGACATAGAAAAGAGAGAAAAGTGGAATACAAAAAATGACAGGGAGAGAAAAGCTTATTAACCAGCATTTTCTACTTACAGGGAACCTGAGCAACATCTTGGGAGAAGCCACAATGAGGGGTTTTCTGAAGTTCCGGACCATTTGTCGCCTAAGCAAGTGGAAATACTGCGCAGGAGTAGTTGGGTGTACCACAAACATATTCACAGTGTCTCCATCTACCCCCTCCTCTCTGCTGTCACACATCTAGATGAGAAATGGCAAGAAAGGAGAAAGAAGTTCAGATTATCTACTTCAATCATAGCAACAATATGAAGGCCAAAGGGAAACGTGTTTTCAATTAGAGAAAACACACTTCTCTCCATTATAGAAAAATATTGCAAGGTAAATTTATGACCTGTGAAATATTGACCAAAGGAGACTTCTGAGGACTCTGTCCATTGGCCCAGTGCTTTGCCATATTAACACAGCGGTTCCCAGGCAGACCTAACTGCAAAAATCATCTGAGAAGAACCTTTAAAAAAAAAAAGATTTGCTGGGTATGGTGGTGCACAACTGTAATTCCAATGACTCAGGAAGCTGAGACAGGAGAATCACAAGCCCAAGTCCAGCCTCGGCAACTTAGCAAGGCCCTGAGCAACACAGAAAGATCCTGTCTCAAAATTT